TTCCTGTTGGGTTTGTGGTGGTGAAGTTCACCATGGGGCTTGTACCATCAGCTCCTTATTGTGGTACTTAAAAGGTTTCCAGCCTGCTCTCAAAGCTCAACAATAGGGCATTGAGTTATCTCAGTCTGCATGGTTCAACTCTTGCTCCAATAGAGACCATAACAGGGTTATATTCACTTCCTAACACAGCTAGGATATGAGTGATTTGTTCTTCCTCTGTGATTCTTTGTCCAGCAGCTGCTAATCCATCACAGCATGCTTTCATTTTGTTCAAATACTCCATCATACTCATACCTGCTTTTTTTAGGTTCTGGAGCTGAATCTTGTATTGCATTATTTTAGCTCGAGACTGACTTGCAAAAGAAGTTTCCAAACTATCCCAGATTTCAAAAGTTGTTCCCAATCCAACAGTAGATATGAGTGTGCTTTCAGAGAGGGAGGAGAGCAACCATGAAACAATGAGCTGATCTTGTCTCATCCATAGAGGGTAAGTTGGATTTGGAGTTATTGCTCATTCAGAGCTTGTCAAACTTTCTTGAGGGGGATCTTCATCTAAGATGTGTTTCTCTAGGCCATATCCTTTGATTGCTGCTTGAACTTGTTGCTTCCATACTAAATAGTTGTTGTCATTAAGCTTGACTGTAATAACCTGAGATTGAAGTTGGATGATGGATGATTCTTGAGCTGCCATGGAAACGTGGAGAGGAGGAAACATAGATGAAGAAAATAATGAAAGGGCAATGGATCAGAGGCCACATGTTTTTCAACCTGTAGCTCTGATACCATGATAAAAATCGAACAAGCATGAAGTCATGATAGAATATTTTCTCCTTCAATGATAATTCTCAAATCTGATTTCTTATCATTAGAACATGCAGTACATAATGCGGCGGCCATCTTGTGAAGGGATAGAAAGCTTTAAATAATCCTAGGGCAAGGTGAAACTACTAGAACTAGGACACACATGGCAACAAGTGATAGGTAATGGCTAACAAACAAGAAAAGATCAAAAAGCAAAAGAAATATCTACTGTGGTCCCGATCCTAATTCATTCTTCATGGAGTGATTTTTTGTCTTGCGTGGTGACATGTCCATGCAGGGTGACATGTCACTGTTTGAAAGTCTAACATTTTCATTGTTAATGATGGTGAAAAATAGATGATAATCCCATTGTTTTTTAGACTTCAACGAACTAAGTCTGTGAAAATAACTCATTTAATATATTTGTTCCGTGTATCACACAGGTACGTGTTACTACTAGGTGAGTAACGTGTCATAAAAAAATTGGAACTGCAATTAATTGATTGCCCAACTTGTTTGATTTAAACAAGCACTCTGCCTTTTGTTTAATATTCAAAAGTTTTGCTGTCAAAAAAATATTTACAAGTTTCGTCTAGTGTTGAATTTTCTTTCAACGCATAACAGCATTTTGGTGCAATTTTTTTTCGAAGTAGATATAATA